ACCAGATCAACCTCCACCCCAGGGTCTCTCGACCAGAGACCTCCCCAGCCCTGCTGTGGACGGGGAAGGTTGGCGATGCGTCGGCGTTCCGGGTCTGGGGATCTCGGGCGTTTGTTCGCGACCTGTCTGCGGACAAGCTGTCCCCTCGTGCTTCTCCCTGCGTCTTCCTGGGGTTCCCCCCCGACGCCCCTGGGTGGCAGTTTTACCACCCCACCTCTCGACGTGTTCTGTCCTCCCAGGACGTCACGTTCGACGAGTCGGTACCCTACTACCGCCTCTTCCCCTACCGCACTCCGTCCCTCCCCCCGCCCCCGCTCTTCTTGGTACCAGGCCCCCCCCCGGTAGTCCCCCTCCCCCCTCAGGGTCCTGCCCCTTCAGGTGTGTCCCAGGTAGACGCGGTCGAGCCTGTCGAGGTCACTGGTGACTCTAGTGCTGCTGCGGGAGCTGAGCCTGAGGGTGCGGGGTCTGGGGGTGCTGAGCCTGGGGGTACTATGCCTAAGGGTGCTGAGCCTGGAGGTGTCGAGCCTGGGGGTGCTGTTCCTGGGGGTGCTGAGCCTGGGGGTGCTGAGCCTGGGGGTGCTGAGCCTGGGGGTGCTGTGCCTGGGGGTGCTGAGCCTGGGGGTGCTGTGCCTGGGGGTGCTGAGCCTGGGGGTGCTGAGCCTGGGGGTGCTTCGTCTCGCCGGGAGCCACTCTCCCCACAGGAGCTGCGTGAGTGGTTTACCAGACGCTGGAGGCGTGCTGCTGGTGCTGGTGGTTCTTCGCCTGCAGTGGGTACTGCTGCCGCGCGTCCCGACGGTGCTCGTACTGTGGGTGCTGGAGCTGCTCGGTCTGAGAGTTCTCCTGGAGCTGGTGCTGCTGAGGGTGCTGGCGCTGAGCCTGCCGCTGGTGGTCCGACTGACAGTGCTCCTGGTGCTGCTGCTAGGGGTTCTGGAGCTTCTGGAGGTGCTGCTGGAGGTGCTGCTGGCGTGGGTGCTCCTGACGGGGGGACTGGTGCTGTTCCTGCTGTTTCTGGTGTCGCCGTGCGGCCTCGACCGTACTTCGTTCCGCTCCTACAGCAGGTTCTTGGTCTTGCACCTCCTCCTGCTTCCTTAGAGGGTCCACAGCCTGTTCGGTCACAGCCACAGCTACAGCCTGCCTCCCCTTTGCCTGCTCCTTCTCCCTACGCTGGTCCGACTGGAGGTCTTACTGAGCGTCGTGAGCCTGCGTCTCGTCCTGCGTCGCCTGTTCGTACTGAGCGCGCTAGTGGTCGCGGGTCGCGTCAGCGTCCTCCTCCTGTCCCTGGCACGCACCGGATGTCACTGTGTCCGTCCACTGCTCCTCTGCGTGCCCCTTTGCCTTCTCCTCCTGCTTCCTCTCTTCCTGCTCTTGCCGACCCGGAGTCGGACTCTCTTCGTGCTGCCAGTCCTACTGTCACGCGTCTCCTTGCTACTGCAGTCACTGACCCTTCCTTTGAGTCGTCTGCTGCGTCTGCCCTTGTCACTGAGCTTGTCGACTTTGCTGCGCGCTGTCGTCTAGACTACGCTGCTCGTCTTGTCGCTGAGTCTGAGTCCGCCTGTCCTCCGTCCGTCGGGGGTGAGTGTGCCCTTGGCACGGACGTCCTAGAGGACAGGCAGGAGGAGTTACAGTGTCTAGCGGCTGCTTCACCTCATCTCGCGTCTGTACTGCTTGCCCCTGAGGGAGACCCGGATGCACTAGACATCCCGACTCCGCGTTCTTACGCGGAGGCCGTAGAGGGTCCCTACTCCTCTCAGTGGCAGGCAGCTATGGATGCAGAGATGGCTTCCTGGAAGTCCACAGGCACCTACGTTGACGCGGTTCCCCCTCCTGGGGCTAACATCGTCAGTGGCATGTGGATCTTCAGGGTGAAGCGGCCGCCGGGCTCCCCGCCTGTCTTCAAGGCGCGTTACGTGGCTCGTGGCTTCAGTCAGCGGCAGGGAGTTGACTACTTTCAGACCTTCTCTCCCACCCCGAAGATGACCACTCTTCGGGTGCTGCTGCACATTGCCGCTCAGCGCGACTACGAGCTTCACTCCCTCGACTTCAGCACTGCGTTCCTGCAGGGTAGCCTGCACGAGGAGATCTGGCTGCGCCGTCCGCCTGGCTTCACTGGGACTTTCCCTCCTGGCACCCAGTGGAGCCTCCGACGGCCAGTCTACGGTCTCCGCCAGGCACCGCGTGAGTGGCACGACACACTGAGGACTACGCTTGCGGCTCTTGGGTTTGCTCCTTCTACTGCTGACCCGTCGCTGTTTCTTCGCACCGACACTTCCCTGCCGCCGTTCTACATCCTCGTGTACGTCGACGACTTGGTCTTTGCCACAGCGGACACTGCTGGACTCGCCTACGTGAAGTCCGAGCTGCTGAAGAGACACACGTGCACAGACCTGGGTGAACTGCGCAGCTACCTTGGCTTGCAGATCACTCGGGACAGAGCACGTCGCACCATTACCCTGACTCAGTCACACATGGTGCAGCAGGTCCTTCAGCGCTTCGGCTTCACGTACTCCTCGCCTCAGGCCACTCCTCTGCCTACTCGCCACTCACTCTCACCTCTGCCTTCGGATGAGTCCGTAGAGTCGAGTGGTCCGTATGCAGAGCTTGTTGGCTGCCTCATGTACCTGATGACCTGCACACGACCTGACCTTGCATACCCTCTGAGCATTCTTGCACGCTATGTTGCTCCTGGGAGACACAGACCGGAGCACATGGCTGCAGCGAAGAGGGTATTGCGCTACCTGTGCAGTACGTCGGGCATGGGGCTAGTGCTTGGAGGGCGGAGTCCAGTGGTCCTTACCGGCCACGCGGACGCTTCTTGGGCTGACGACCAGGCTACGCAGCGGTCGTCACAGGGTTACACCTTCAGCCTTGGTTCCGGTTCTGTCTCGTGGCGGTCTACTCGCTCGTCTTCGGTTCTCGGCTCCAGTTGTGAGGCTGAGATCTACGCCTGGGCCATGGCTGCACAGGAGCTTCGCTGGCTCACCTACCTGCTGACCGACCTTGGAGAGCCGCCTCGTTCTCCTCCAGTGCTGTACGTAGACAACAAGGCCATGCTGGCCTTGTGTCGAGAGCAGCGCTTGGAGCACAGAACGAAGCACATTGCTCTCCGCTACTTCCTTGCTCGTGAGCTGCAGCAGCGTGGTCAGTTGCGACTTGCTTACGTGGCCTCTGAGGCCAACACTGCTGATGTGTTCACCAAGGCACTTGCGCCTTGTGACCATCAGCGCTTTTGTACCCAGCTGGGTCTTGTACCTGTCTTGCCTCACTTGCTCTCTTCTTGACTTTACTTGTACTTTGTCATATATATACCTGCTCCTGCTTGTCTAGTTTTTTATATATGTCTGTACTCCTGCATGTGAACTGGCCTCTGGCCCTGCTCTTGTGCTCGGACTGTGTGGTGACTTTGTGATCCACCCTGAGCTTGCTTTGCTTTGCTTTGTTTGACTGGTCTTGTGACCCCTTGTTCTCCCCCACTTTGCCTATGGGGGTGTGTCAGATTATTATAGCTGATGCATGTTTGTAGGCTATAGTGGGGTAGCACATATGGGGTACAGTTTGCTAGGGTTGTATTTGTACCCAACTCTGACTTAGTCAATTCATTCCTGTTCAGTTAGTTTCACAAGTCCCTCCTCCTCCACACTTGCCCTTTGCGATAGCCTCTAGCTTTGCTTACATTTTTAAACTTTAAACTGTTGCTTCTTGTACTTGTGCTCAGAATGTGTGGTGACATTGTGATCCACCCTGAGTTTGTTCTGCTTTGCTTGTTGTGCTGATTACACCCCACTTTGACTATGGGGGTGTGTCAGAATATCATGTTTCTCTAGTCTGCAGTGGGGTACTCTATAGTGAGTACAACCCTTTTAGTGTTTGCTATATGTATTCCAATGTTTGCTAGTGAACCCTCTCTTATCTCATTCCTCATTTCTCACAATTGGAGCGGAGGCCGACTCGGGAGTGGTTCGGCCGACGAAATAGGCCGAACATGTTCGTCGCGTGACCTTCGGGATGTACTCGCTAATAACTGACTACAGTAAGGAAATCTAATTCCTTACAATTTGAGTGGTCTTGGGTTTGCCAGCGGGTGTTACTATTCGGCTTGAAAAAACCCGCTTTGTACCCAAATAATTTTCGTATTCTTATAACGCGTTTCTGTTTCATTGGCTCTGCCTCGATTTCGCCGCCACCTCCCAATTCATCTTTGCTCTCTCCCACATTGCCGAATCAGACCAGATCAGACCAGATCGGACCGAACCAAATAGTACCACTGTTTTGCCCACTGTTCCCATCGCGACGCGGCAACTCCCAGGATCGCCGTCATGCCAGCCGTCGCGGGAAACGCGCTAGCGCACGCCGCGCTGGCCTGTTCGACGCACAACCACAGCCCAGCCGCAAATTACGCTGCAATCCGCGGCGCTGGAGTCAGTAAGAACCGCCGCGAGAAAGGTAGTCGCCGCGATTTACGGAAAGACCTTTCCGATTCGAGTCTCCCACGCAGCCGTTTCACCGAATCCATTTCTCATTGCCTGTCAGTGTCATTCTCTAGCGGCTGCTCATTCCAAAACCAGTGGCGATCTAGAAGTTACCGAAAAACAGCACCAGCCGTTGGATCGCCTGATTCAAACGGCGATCGTACGGACGCGGTACTCTCGAGCAGCCAGCCAGACGAGGCGGCCAAATCTTCAAACGCAGTGGCAACTGCAGCGCCCGAGGCACGAAACAGACCCGCTGACGTGGCAGGTGCTCACCAATCAGAAGCTGACGTGGCAGCTGCGTCGGAGCAAGATGCACGAGACGGGGCAGCACAAGAATCGCTGTCAGCTAGTGCCTCGGAATCAGGAAGAGGATCTGACAAAACAGCCGCGTCCCCACAAGCTGAATCACAGCCAGCGCCGCCAGCGGTAGCAGCAGCGGCAACAGCAGTAGCGCCGCCAGCGGTGGCGGTGCCGGCGCTGGTGGGGCTGGTGGCGGTGGCACTGGTGCTGTGTAACGCGGACCGTGTGATCATGTCCGTCGCCATCCTGCCCCTCTCCACATCCAACGGCTGGCCGCCCAGCGTGGCAGGCATCGTGCAGGTGAGGGCGTGGGCAGAAAGGGAGAGGGGGGGGAAGGGAAGGGGTAGAGGAAGGGGGATCATAACCACAGAAGCGCTGCTGGCGCCGCTGCTTCTGCTCTCCGCATCCAACGGCTGGCCGCCCAGCGTGGCAGGCATCGTGCAGGTGAGGGGGGGAGGGGACAGGAAGAGAGAGGCGGGAGAAGACGGGGTTTGGTTTAGTCGATAAGGGAGTTGGTGGTGGCCCAGAATAAACAAAATCGAAGACATGAATAACCCTCTCCTTTCTATCGATCGCCTGGGTCTTTCGTAAGTCCACTCAAACTTCCCTTCCCTTCCCTTCCCTTCCCTTCCCTTCCCTCCCATGGCTCCCCTTTTCCCACTTCCCCTCCCATGGCTCCCCTTTACCCCCTTCCCCTCCCATGGCTCCCCTTTCCCCCCTTCCCCTCCCATGGCTCCCCTTTCCCCCCTTCCCCTCCCCCAGCCCTCCCAGTCCTCGTTCCTAAAGGGCTATCTCATAACGCCCATCGCAGTTTCCTCTTCACCCACACACCTCCCACTCCTGTCCCCTTCCTCCCCACCCCGATCCCTCCCTCTCCTCCCCTCCCAGTCCTCCTTCCTGTGGGGCTATCTCATAACGTCCATCGCAGTTTCCTCTTCACCCACACACCTCCCACTCCTGTCCCCTTCCTCCCCACCCCGATCCCTCCCTCTCCTCCCCTCCCAGTCCTCCTTCCTGTGGGGCTATCTCATAACGCCCATCATGCCTAATTCCCGCTTCACCCCCCCTCGCCCACCTATGCCCTCCCCCCCTCCCTCCCCCCCTTTCCCCTCCCCACCTTCCCAGTCCTCCTTCCTATGGGGCTATCTCATAACGCCCATCATCGGGGGGTCGCTCGCCGACCGTTATGGCGGGCGCCCCGTGCTGGCAGCTGGGCTGGCGCTCTGGTCGCTGGCCACACTGCTCACTCCCTCCGCTGCTGCTCATTCGTTGGGTGCCCTCTTAACTGTGCGCGCTGTCATGGGGCTGGGGGAGGGCGTTGCCCTACCCTGCATGAACCACATGGTTTCACGGTACGTACACCAGTTTCAGGGGTTTTCAAACGGCTCAAGCTGTGCTGGCAGCAGGGCTGGCGCTGGCGCTCTGGCCGCTCGCCACCCTGCTCACGCCCTCCGCTGCAGCACACTCTCAGGGCGCTCTGTTACCTGTGCAGGCAGTCATGGGGCTGCGGGAGGGGTGGCTCTGCCATGCATGAACCACATGGTTTCACGGTACAAACTGTCTAGAGGGGGTTTCAAGTGTTTTTTTTTTTTTTTTTTTTTTTTTTTTTTTTTTTGCGTTACGGCGGCCGTTGTGTGCTGGCAGCAAGGCTTGGGCTCTGGTCGCTCACCACACTGCTCACGCCCTCACGCCTTAGTGCTCATCCTCAATCTTCCCCCCATCCCTCGTCCATCCCACGTCCCCCAACCCCCCCGCACTCTACTGAACCGTTACGTGCCAGAGAAGAGGAGAGCATGGGCTACAGGTATCTGCTCCGCAGGCTTCCATGCGGGCAGCATGCTGGGGCTGCTGTCAGCGCGCTCGCTCATGGCCCGTCCACCCCTTCCACCCCTTCCACCCCCATGTCCCCATTCCACCACAACCCCTGTACCCCGTGCCCCGTGTAGAAAGTAGATTTTTGAGACGTCTCAAAAATCTACTTTCTACACGCCGTCCACCCCTTCCACCCCCATGTCCCCGTTCCACCACAACCCCTGTACCCCGTGCCCCGCCCCCCCATCCCCCCATCCCCCACCACAGCTACGTGCCAGAGAACAGGCGGGCCTGGGCCGTAGGAATCTGCTTCGCGGGATTCCACGTGGGCAGCATGCTAGGGCTGCTCTCCGCTCCTTCCCTCATGGCCCTGCCGGGTCTGGGATTGACCGGCCCCTTCCTGATCTTTGGAGCGCTGGGGCTGCTCTGGCTCGCGCTCTGGCTGCTCCTCGTGCCTGCTGATGCCGCTGCTGCACCTAGTGCTTCTGCTGCCTCTTGTGCTCATAGTTTTGAGTCGACTCAAAAGGTGCCCGGCGATGCTCCTGCTGCGCCTAGTGCTTCTGCTGCCTCTGGTGCTGTTAGTGGCGGGCAGCTGGACGGGAAGCAGAGGATGCAGAGTGGGTCGCGCGTTACGGTGTGGCAGCTGCTGTCGCACCCGGCCTCATGGGCCATCATCATCGCCAATACCGTCAATAACTGGGTGAGACGAGAGGCGCATGGGTCACTTTTTTTTAGGCGCCTAAAAAATCGTCACTTGGACAGGTATCACCACCGCCTCATTCACCGCGCCTCATCCACCGCGCCTCATTCACCGCCCCTCATCCACCGCCCCTCATCCACCGCCTTGTCACTTGGCTCATGACAATGACAGTGTGGCAGCTGCTGTCGCACCCGGCCTCATGAGCCATCATTTCATGCCACCGCGAGCTCCATCAGTGCATCGGTCACTTTCACAACCGTCAATACCAGCACTACCATCATTATCAACAACTCATTACCATTGCTCCTCCCCCCTCGCTCCCCCCCTCTTGCCAGGGCTACTTCATTCTGCTCTCCTGGATGCCACTCTACTTCAACCAGGTGAGTTGTTTTGTTAGTTAGGGCGGATGGAGTCCTATTTTTGCAGGTCGGTTCTGTAAATTCTGAACAACGACCCTCACCAGGGCTACTTCATTCTGCTCTCCTGGATGCTACTCTACTTCAACCAGGTGGGTTGTTTTGTTAGTTAGGGCGGATGGAGTCCTATTTTTGCAGGTCGGTTCTGTAAATTCTGAACAACGACCCTCACCAGGGCTACTTCATTCTGCTCTCCTGGATGCTACTCTACTTCAACCAGGTGGGTCATTCTTGAACGTGCCGCTAAACTCATAATGGAGTAGCTGCAAACCGGAAGAAACGCTTAAGCATCTTATGGAAACGAAACGGTAAAACTTCCCAGAGATTCGAGCAGTACAAGAAACTCTCGCAGGAATCCTGATCGCAAAAGTTTGGTTCAGGGTTTACAGCTACTCCATTATGAGTTTAGACACTCTACTTCAACCAGGTGGGTCATTCTTGAACGTGCCTCTACTCTACACACCCACACCCGCTCTGTTCACTTGTCTGCTGTGCGTTGGCCAGGTACATCTTTGTTGAGGGAAATTCTTTTGAGAATTCTCTTAAGTGATTTCAATTCGTCAGCCAGGTACATCTTTGTTGAGGGAGCACACAGGTACTTTGATTGACAATTCCTTTTGCTCTTCCACCGTCCCTTCTCTCCAGTCGTCTCGTCCACCCTCCTCTTCCCTCCCCCTGTTGTCTCTTCCACCCCCCTCACACACTCACCCCTTTCTCCTGCCCTCACCCCACCAGGTGCTGCACACGGACATCCGCCAGGCGGCGTGGTTCAGTGTGGGCCCATGGGCGGTCATGGCGGGCATGAGGCTGCTGGCAGCACAGATGGCTGGCAGCCTGTCATCGCACACCCTCCCACTTACTGTCACTCCCCCACACATCCGCTCCCACTCTGCCCTCACCCCACCAGGTGCTGCACACGGACATCAGGCAGGCAGCGTGGTTCAGTGCGGGGCCATGGGCGGTCATGGCGGGGATGGGGCTGCTCGCAGCAGGGGTGGCGAACCGCATGGAGGGCAGACAGGGCATGACCCGCACCGCCGTGCGCAAAGTCATGCAGGTAGGCTTGACAGTGACATCTCGTGCACTGTAAAAAGAAGAAAAAAAGACTAAACGTTCATACCCCAGCTGTTGCTCCACTTATTCACCCCACACATCGCCCTGCTCTCGTCTCCATGCCTTCCCTTCTTCTCCCTCAGGCCGGCTGGTTTCTGGGTCCAGCTGCGTCGTTGCTGCTGCTCACCTGCATGAACTCTGCCACCCTGCCTGCTCACCTGCATGAACTCTGCCACCCTGCCTGCTCACCTGCATGAACTCTGCCACCCTGCCTGCTCACCTGCATGAACTCTGCCACCCTGCCTGCTCACCTGCATGAACTCTGCCACCCTGCCTGCTCACCTGCATGAACTCTGCCACCCTGCCTGCTCACCTGCATGAACTCTGCCACCCTGCCTGCTCACCTGCATGAACTCTGCCACCCTGCCTGCTCACCTGCATGAACTCTGCCACCCTGCCTGCTCACCTGCATGAACTCTGCCACCCTGCCTGCTCACCTGCATGAACTCTGCCACCCTGCCTGCTCACCTGCATGAACTCTGCCACCCTGCCTGCTCTCTCCCTCACTGCTGCTCTTTTACAAAATCTCCCATTCCCATCTGCCACCTTGCTCTCATCTCCACTCCACTTCTCCCCACCATCTCCCCTCAGACTGCCAGGTTCCTGGGTCCAGCTGCGTCGCTACTGCTGCTGCTCACACGCATGGCCACCGGCCCCCTCGCTGCACTATGCCTCACTGCTGCTCTTTTTAGTGAATCGCTGATCTGCCACCATGCTCTCTTCCCCACCTCCTCCCCACCGTCTCCCCTCAGACTGCCGGGTTCCTGGGGCCGGCTGCATCGCTGCTGCTGCTCACGCGCATGACCTCCGCCCCCCTCGCTGCCCTCTGCCTCACTGCTGCTCTCGGCCTGAGTGCATTTAGCCAAGCCGGGTGGCTCCTCAACCACAAGGTGCGCGCTCTGCAACCCTCTCCCTCTGCCCCTCATTCCCCTCCTCTTCAACCCCCCTCTCCCACGCTCACTCTCTCCCTCGCTGCCCTCTCACTGCTGCTCTTGGCCTGAGTGCGTTCAGCCAAGCCGGGTGGCTCCTCAACCACAAGGTGCGCGCTCTGCAACCCTCCTCTCCACCCCTCGCTTTCTCCATCGCTTAATCTCTCACTCTTCCTCACTGCTGCTCTCAGCCTGAGTGCGTTCAGCCAAGCCACAAGGTGGCGCGTATTTCTGCTCCTTCTTGTCCGCAGCTGCCCTAGCCGCCCACCCCGGTGCTCTATTGCAGTTCTCATCTTGGTGAGAAACGGGGTCCGTCACTGTCACGTCGCACATCCAAACCTCTCCCGTCCGGGGATGGCGGATTGCGACGTCCGCCTTCAGGTTTTCAACGAGAGAGAATACATAGGTTTCTTTGTGCACCGTGAATCCCGCCTCTGCCGCAATCAAGGCAATCTCGTCCCTGAGCGCATGGTGAGTCGCAATCTTTCCCCCCCCTTTCTCGCAGCGCATGAGATGGTTTGGGAGGCGGTCATCAGGGAATTTGGTGCGGTAGCGGCAGTCGCAGCGCCTGGGGACAGGTAGGGGGAGGCCCAGGCGGAACGCGGCAGCGGAGGAGAGCTGGGAGGGTCCCATCCTAAGCGAGGGTATGATGGGTAGTGCCAGCAGCCAATCTCCTGCACCAGGGCCGAGCACCGACTGCATTCTCTGGGCATGGCCAGAGAGGGGGCTGGGGCGCATCCGCCTTGCCTCGTTCATGACCCTCAGGAAGCGGCGTGTCTGAACCGCCAGCGCTAGAGACTGCTGCAGCTTGAGGCCCTGTGGGTCTGCTTTCCCGGCCTGGAGGGCTTCTAGAGCCTCGGGGGGGAGGGCTGCTTCCGCTGCTGCAAGGCGTGTAGGCAGGGCGTGCGCGGAGCCGGAGGTGGGGTCCATTAGGGGGAGGAGGGCTGCTACATCCGGGTGGAGTGCCTCGGCCAGGGAGTGCAGTAAGTGGGAGGTGCCCACCACGGACGCAAGGTACGCAGAGCTCCCTTCAACTGCAGGATTTGTAATGCCAAGCCCCCCCAATGTTACGGCCAGCGCCGCTTGCCTCCAGATTCTCCTCTGCTCCGCGTCACTCCTTGGCAGCATGATATGGGCCGCGTCCAGGAAGGTATGCAGCAGTTGCTCCCCCCATGCCGCCCATTCATCCTCAGGTAGTGCCTCTAGCGGAGTGGTTCTGGCCAGGAAGGATGCTCGGCGGCCTACGCAGCGGGTGAGTAGCAGCAGGCACAATTGGGGGTCCATTTGGGCCAGGAGTGGCAAGGGTTCTGCTGCTGCTGCAAGCCTTTCCCTTACTCTGGCGGCACAGCCATCTGGGGTCCCGATTGGGCTTCCTAATATCCGCAGTCCGTCTGCTGCAATGGGGAAGCTCGGAGGGAGAGAGGCGGGGTCTATGGCGGTTGCAGACCAAGCCTCACACTTCCCAAGGTTGTGCTCGAGGCCAATGTGGATCAGTGCGGCAGTGAGGTGTGTAAATGCCGCCGTGCACGCTTCTGCTTCGCCTAGCAGCGTTATGTCGTCTGCATAGGCGAGAATGACGACCCTTGGGTGAGCTAGTGCCGTTGCGGTAAGGTGTGGGTGGATGCTTGCCGCAAAGAGCAAGGGGCCAAGAGGGTCCCCCTGGCGGACACCTCTAGCACTTAGCAGTGGAGCCACGCCGAAGTCATGGTCGAGGTGGAGTGCTGAGGGGGTTCCGTAGGAGAGGCGGACAAGGGGCAGAAGGCTTTCAAGGGACTCGTTCTTGAGCCCCTCGAATACCGCCGCCCTTTCCACCGCGTTAAACGCGTTGGCGAGGTCAATCTGCAGCGCCACCGAGCCCGGGTTCTCCTCCAGGTATGTGCGCGCAGTGTGAATGGCCGCCTCAATCCCTCCAGCCACTGCTACCCCGAACTGTAGAGGCGTGAAGTGTGATCGTGCCGCCGCCCCAGTCAGGAACAGTGCTGCCTTAGCCACTATGCGAAGAAGGCATTCGCCCACGGCTATCGGTCGGGTCCCCCCCTGTGGTTTTGTGAAGGCCAAGAGTCGTGAGGCTGTGAGGAGCTCGGTGGCCTCGCTGCTGAGTTTCCCGGCTATAGCTGTATTGGTAAGTGCGAGGAGATGGGCGAAGATGTCTGGATTTCCGAGTGCAGCATCGCGTATGTGCTCGAAGGTTGTGCCTGAGGGCCCTGCTCCCACCCCGTTTGGGAGTTTGGCTACGATGCGCCTGAAGTCGCGCGGCTCTATCGAAGGGGTTTTCTCGGGGGAGAAGGTGCGTATCCATTCTGGTAAGGGCTGTAGTGTTTGCGGGTGTCGTGCTGCTAATGCCGCGTACACTTCGGAGGAGGCAGGTGAGACCGGAGTGGCTTGGAGGGACTGTAGTGACTTGGCCAGGTTACCACGCTTGGCCAGTCCCTCCGCTCTAGCAAGGATGCCCTGAGTGTCAGGTACGTGACGTGGCTGGGCTGGGAGGGAAATTGCTTCAACTGCCTCGTCGTACAGGCCAGACCAGAGTCCCTGGCGGAAACGGAGGAGGCGATTCATCATCGCGTTCCAGTCTGGTTTGCGAGCTGACGAGGTGCGTAGGAGGATTCGCGGGAGGAAAGTCAGTAACCTCCACCCCGCGGTCGAGTTGGGATTGGCTGCCAGGTGGAGGAGTGGGGTGAGTAGGCAGACTGCTGCTACTCTCTCTCTCTCTCTCTCGAACGGTCCTTGGTATTAATGTCAGCAAGGTACACGCATGGTAAGGCTACAGCAATCTCGCAGCAAGGCTACAACAAAACAACAGCTAACCCCGCACTACCCCAGCCCCAGCCCCCCCCTCCCCGCCCGGCCCTAATGGCCGGAGGGGTCTTCTATCAACTGATACAGCTGCCCCTCGCTCATTGGAGTAAACGGGCCCTGCAGGCCGAGCACATCCGCTGTGAGGGCCTCATGGGTCTTATCCCTGAGGGCAGTGGCTTGCGCTCTCTGCAGGGTCACACTCCACCGCTGCCGGTACTCGGTGAGTAGCCTGGCGCATTCCCTCGACTTGGGAGTGGCGTTGAACCGCCGCCTGGCCGCTAACTCCGCGCAGCTGCGAAGGAATTCCAGGACTCCCCTCGAGGGGTAACCGTAGGTCTCAACCGCCAAGGCGTAAAAGCCCACCCAAGCGCTCCGCCTGGCGTATTTGCTTGCCTTCTTGTCCGCCTGCATTCTAGCAGCCCAACCGGGAGCTTTACGGGCGTATTCATCCTGGAGGGAGATGGGGTCCGTGACCGTGATGTCACAGATCCACACCTCACCGGTGTCGGGATGGCGGATAGAGATATCCGCTTTGAGGTTTTCGACCGGTGAGTAAGCCGTTGTCTCCTTATGCATGGTGAAGCCCGCTTCCGCAGCTATCTTTGCGCACTCGTCCCGAAGGGCATTGTGAGTTGCAATTCTCCCCCCCCCTTTCTCGCACCGCATCAAATGGTTCGGTAGGCGGTCGTCGGGGAATGTGGTGCGGTATCTGCAGTCACAGCGCCTTGGCACAGGTAGGGGCAGGCCTAGGCGGAAGGAGGCCGCTGTGGAGAACTGAGAGGGCCCGAGGCGGAGGGAGGAGATCAGCGGGACGGCGAGCAGCCAGTCCCCTGCGCCGGGGCCCAAGAGGGACTGCAGCCGCTGCGTGTGTCCGAACAGTGGGTTGAGCTCCATCTCCCGCGAGCTCTCGAGCAGTTGCATGAACCTTGCAGTTTGAACCGCGAGGGAGAGCGACTGTTGGAGCTTTGGCCCGTCCGGTCTCTGTCTCCCCACTTGGAGAGCCTCGATCCCCTCAGGAGGCAGCTCGGCTTCCAGAGCGGCAAGGCGCCTTGGGAGGAGGGACGTAGATTCCTCGTTGGAGTCCATTAGCGGCAGGAGTCCAGTGAGAGCAGGGTTTGCCGCGTCGCCGAAGGAGCGCAGCAGGTGTGCAGCAGCAGTGACTGCAGCCAGGTAAGCATATCCCCCCTCCACTGCAGGGTTGGTGATGCCCAGGCCTCCCAGGGACGCGGGCAGGGCGGCCTGGTGCCAAATCCTCTCCCTCTCGACCCGGGCTCTGGGGATTTCTGTGTGTGCTGCGGCAAGGTAGGTATGGAACAGTTCTTCCCCCCAGGCGGACCATTCCCTCAGCGGTAGGGCTTCAAGCGGCGTGGTTCTGACCATGAACGAAGCGCGGCGGCTCACGCAGCGGGTAAGTAGGAGCAGGCAGAGTTGCGGGTCCATCTGGGAGAGGAGCGGGAGCGGTTCAGCAGCAGCAGTAAGGCGTTCCCGCACTCGGGCAGCGCAGCCGGCGGGGGGCCCAATCGGGCTGCCCAAGACGCGGATCCCGTCCCGGGAGATAGTGACGCCGTGGGGCAGAGCGGCGGGCTCCAGGGCTGTGGCGGACCATGCTTCGCATTTCGCGGGGTTGTGGGACAGGCCGTGGCTGAGAAGGGCTTCCGTGAGGTGATTGAAGGCCGCCGTGCAGCTCGCAGTCTCGCCTAGCAGGGTGATGTCATCTGCGTACGCGAGGAGCACCACCTCTGGGTGGGCCGTCGCCGTTGCAGCGAGACAGGGATGGATGCTGGCCGCGAACAGCATAGGACCTAGTGGGTCACCCTGGCGCACGCCTCGCGCGCTCTGTAGAGGCGCCGCCTCGAAATCGTGGTCGAGGTAGAGGGCTGATGGGCGGCTGTATGAGAGGCGGACGAGGGGGACCAGGGTGTCAAGCTTCGTGCCTTTCAGTCCTTCAAACACCTCCGCGCGCTCCACGGCATTGAAAGCGTTTGCCAGGTCAATCTGGAGGGCCGTTGCTCCAGGGAACTCCTCCAGGTAGGTGCGGGCCGCGTGTATCGCTGCCTCGATGCCCCCCGCGATCGCCACACCGAATTGTAGCGGGGTGAAGTGGTCGCGCGCTGCAGGAGCGGCCAGGAAGAGCGCCGCCTTTGTGACAATACGCAGCAGACATTCACCCACGGCTATTGGCCTAGTTCCGCCTTGGGGTTTCGTGAAGGCGAGCAGACGCGAAGCGGTGAGTAGATCTGCAGCCTCGGCGTTCAGTTTACCCGCTAGCGCCGTGCTGGTAAGCGCGTGCAGTTGCAAGAGGACGTCGGCGTTCCCAAGGGCCGCATCCCTCAGGTGCTCGAAGGTAGTCCCTGATGGCCCAGCCCCTACGCCGTTGGGGCACCGGGCAAGCAGCTT